AACAAGCAGTGTTTTTAGCATTTAAAGAGCCTTTTTTTATTTTATTTATCAAAGAGTACTTTAGTGGTCAGTGCTGGAAGCCAAAACACAAAAAAATTCCAACACATACAAAAGTGCACATTGATCATGGCGATCAATTAGGGATCAATAACGTTAAGCTTCATCAGTCCCAGCTTTTCATAATTGCATAAGATCCATTTTTCATTACTAACAAACAAAAGCTTTTAAGGTCCTAGAGAAACTTCATGAACATTTCACAAAATCAACTTTATGCTGTTAGCAAAGGTCATCGCGGAGGTCATTGGGCTGGCCTCCAGGATTTCAAAGACTGGGCAAAACAACTCTAAATCCATGCATCTCTTTCTGTGAAACTTGTTCAGCCGATAAATCAGACTCAAACCTACAAATATTAATGCTTTGGAAGATTACCTGGAATTTGTTTGTGTTTTCCGCTGACCTTTGCAGCAGAAGTGGTCATTTCCTAGTGCAGTGCAGCAAATCCCCAGGAGCACACAGAGCAAGCTGGCAGCAGAGGGATGTAGCTGATCGGGTATTTGTTTTACAGGCTGGCATTGGAGCCAAGCTACCCTCAGCTGCCACCCAATATACACTGCTCAATCGTGCACAAAATCTCAAACTATACTTCAAAGACTACCACTTTTCTCCTTCCTGTTTATTGATCAGGCAGAGCTCTTGTTCAGTAATTGTGCAGTAAATCAAGCATGGTGAGCACTAATCTCGACCCCGGGAGGAAAGTGTTAAAGGTAAAACCTGCTGAAAAGTGCATAATTAGGGTGCTGTGTTTAGCCAGGAAGGAGGACATGCTCCTCCTCCGCCTCCTCCTCACATTTCTTGCTCACTGACTGTCTGTGCAACTAGAGGCAGCAGAGAGGGAGAGGGAGAGGGGTTGGCAGAGGAGCAACGGGAAGTGTATACAGTTTCTAACCACCTCTCGCTCCCTCCCGTACTCTTTCAGTCCTTCTCCCTCTCTCAGTGCATTCCCAACCAAAGTGCCGGGGGCGCCATGCTTGTAAAGAAACCACAGCCTTTTGAGTGCCTCTTGTATTTACAAACGGAGGCATGTTGGAATCAAAGGCATTACCACATGACATAACACATTAAACAGTTGGCAGATTGAGAATTTATGTACTCAATAGATAGTGAGTGGGGTAAACAGGAAAAGTGCCGGTGCTGGATAAGTTTAGGTCTACGTGGTGCGAGAGCTGAACTTACCTAAACCAGATCACAGTAAAGGAGTCAACAGCAGCAGCTCTCTTCCTTGCCTTGCTTTGTCTCCCCTCTTAACCCACAGCTCAGGCTTTACTCCAGGTGGAGACAGCTATCACTTTCCCATCAACTTCCTGTTCCTAGTCTCTCTCCGCCCCCTTTTTCTCTCCACTATCTCCCTCCCAGCCGCTTAACTTTTTTTTCTCCCTGTGCCATTTTTCAAGGAATAAGCCGCGACTCTTCCCCCATCCTTAGGAGGAAAAAAAATGAACTCTCTCTCACGTCATATCTCTGTCTCCTCTCCTCCTCCCTGAACCGTTTCCTCGTGTTGCTTTTCTGGCTAATTTCTCCTCAGTTTTGAATCCACCATCATCTATAGGAATCTAAAAATAAATGATGAATGGAATAAGATATTTTATGGTCGGATCCCTTACCTGTTCTTACAGGGGTAATAATATGGTAGTTAATCCTGCAGATCCTACTCAAATTGATTAATCAGCACACGCGGACAATCGAATAAATGATTAATAATCCCCAGTCATGTGGTCGGACAGTTGCCCCTGAAACCATCAGTAATAATTCAGTAACCCTTCTTCAGACCACAGGCTGCAGCTAGTCAGGCTCACTCAGCATCAGCTCTGTGATGTTCAGCAGGACTTTGAACTCCCTGCACACGCTCACACACACACACACACACACACACCAGGGATAAAACTTACTGCAGCCTGATCTCACAAACGCCCCCCTACAATGCTTGCTCACCTCATCAGAATTATCTTCAAAGGTGTTCATCTAAATATGTGAGCTAGGAATACATTTATACCATAGCTTCACGAGTGACACAAATATGAAACAACAATAAAAAGAGCCCTAACTCGGCGGGTGTATTATGCAAGCACAAGGTAAATAATGCTCCTACTGCAATTGTAAAGGGTTTTGTTTTGGAAGTAGACTGACAACGTTTGATGTTTGGCAACATCTAACTCCCTCCTACCCCCCCCCCCCCCCCCCCCCCCCCCCCACACACACACACACACACACACACATGCACACACACACATGCACACACACCATGAGAACTAGGGGTGGGAATTGAAAACCGGTTCTTGTTCAGAAAGGGTTTGCACTGTCTCGATTCCCAGGCATTGTTTTCCCACTTTTGCAAATGATTCCCTCATCAAATCCAGTCCAAGTTAATGACGTCACCACGCACGTTGCCCAGCTTACACATTTCCTCAGCAGGAAACCTAAGCGGCACAGAAGCTCAACAGTTTGGTGATACTTGATGAGAAAGTGTGACAACGGGGCTAATTGCAATTACAGGAAACAGGAAGATGCCAAAGTATTCGTGCACAAATAATGTAATAAGTGAATGTCGTGTTTCTGACCCGCTCTGGACGGGTGAATTTCAACGCAGCAGCAACGGTGACGTTTGCACATCCTCTCCTGTCCATACTAAACTAACAGTGCCCATCACGTTAGCCTCATTTGCCTCACACACACACACACACACACACACACACACACACACACACGCTGGCAGTCTCCTGCGACAAAAGTCCGACCTGTGGTGAGATTTGACTCATCTTACAAAACACCACACCGTACAAGAAGATGACTCTACCTTCACAAGGAGCATAGAGGAGAACATTTGGAAAGATCTTTCCAACCGATACCAGGTGTGATTGATTATTTATCATTAATAAACTGACTATAATAATGAAAGAGACCGTTGGCAATTAATTTTTGCCACAACGCCACTAATATTGATAAAAACGTATCATGTCCCTTAATGAGCACACCCTGTCCCGTTTGTGGACAAAGAGGGGAGCCTCCTTTGAAGACGGTCTTTTCCTGTCCCATCATCCACGCTGTTCTCCCTCCTAAGGAGGTCACTGGACCACCATCTTCATGGCATCTGTCAGCAATAGGAATTATTAATCAGGGATGGCGCTGGAGGCAGAAACAGCCAGCACTGAATGGTGAGGACTGGTACTTGTGGGTTGGGGGGGGGGGTATATGAATATGTGAATCAGTGGATGGAGGGTGAACTGCTTTTTCTCTGTGCTCCGCCACGACAAAGACACATGTACTGTTTACACCGTACATACACACGCCGCCTTAGTTCTCCTCTTGTCCAACACTTGTTTTGTAAACAGAATCTGAGCAGCCGGCTGTTTGGACCCTCTCGGGCAGCTCTCACATTTACCACCAATGGCAACTCCTCACCGCTCACCTCAGTTTAAAAGAGGGATCATATATAATTTAAGCCACAGCCCACCCCTCAAATGTGTGTTTTAAACTCTGATCTGGGTCAGAACGGAGCTCCAGAGAGTGACTGGCCATCCGCGTCTTTGCTAAAACATTCAACGGCAAACAGTTTTGTCTTTAACAGGTCTCAGTTCACTTTGATCTAGTCTCCCGCTCCTCTGTTTATAAATCAGCTGCACAAATATTTATGAGCAGAACGAAGAAAAACGGCCGGTCTGGTTTGCATCTCTGCCCTCCTCTAGCCTCCTCCCTCCCTCCCTCCCCCCGACATGGCTGATGTGGCCACCGCAGATGCAGGGCGAGCACAAAGGCCCCGGGCCACATCTATCATATCTGTTCTGTCTCTGGCTATCGTGTGGCCCCAGAGAGGGCGGACCCAACCTAAACCGAGTAACCCAAATCATGGCACTTTTGTTCTGGATAGAAGAGGAATTCATCAACTCCTGTGAGTGGAATGTGAAAGCACAATCGAGAACAAGGCTGTGTGTGAAAGTGTATGGCACTGACCAAATGCACACACACACACACACACACACACACACACACACACACAGGACTAATACATTATTAGTTTTTCAGTAACAAAGTTCGATAAATTAATGCAGCCAAGTTCAATACATAGAGCCTCTGCATCTCTTCCGGCTCACCTTTCTGGTTCTCCCTCCAACACGGGCTCCGGGCTTCTGGATCCATATGCTTTAATTGCTCCCCCCTGCCCTGACCTCTGATCCAGATCACTCTGATACACAGCATCTCTATTAAAGCGGGAAGTAGGAAAATATTCTTCTAATGACCCTCAGTTCTAGCAATAGCACTGAAAATGGAGAAGAAGAAGAAAATCAATCTTCTTCTTTCCTTTTTGCCCTTCACAGACTCTATTAGTTCCTTTTTATTTAAAGGTTGACTCCAAACATGTGGATGGACGGAGATGGCGCAGGACGGAGGGGAAATGGACTTTCCTGAGATGCATTCCACTAATGAGGAGACAACAAACCTATGGTTGGACAAAAGTAAAAAGCCTTATACACTGGACTGTGACTTTCCTAGTACACATCACGTTTTCTGATCCTGTGTATAAAAAAAGAAAAAAAAAATCAGACAGCCGTTATCTAAACTGTGCAGAATGTTGATCCTGCAATCTACACTCCTGATAATTCAGAAGATAATGTGGTTTAGGCAGGAATGAGTCAAACTGGACTGAATGATACGGCCGCATGCACAGAAGGGCAAGGATGTGTGTGTGTGTGTGTGTGTGTGTGTGTGTGTGTGTATGTGTGTATGTGTGTGTGTGTGTGTGTGTGTGTGTGTGTATGTGTGTGTGTGTGTGTGTGTGTGTGTGTGTGTGTATGTGTGTATGTGTGTGTGTGTGTGTGTGTGTGTGTGTGTGTGTGTGTGTGTATGTGTGTATGTGTGTGTGTGTGTGTGTATGTGTGCGCGCGTGTGTGTGTGTGTGTGTGTGTGTGTGTGTGTGTGTGTGTGTGTGTGTGTGTGTGTGTGTGTGTGTGTGTGTGTGCTGTACAGTAGTAACTGGTGAAGTGTGCTTGTGTGTCTGTGGGCAAGGGTGGGTGGGGGTAGCGGGGAGGTGGCAGTGGTGGACTGGCTTGTCGATCGATGCAGTGATTGGCAGTTAATGGCTTTTCCTGTTCTGCCTTGGTAACCCTGGCCTGATGGCTGTTGGGTCTGATCAGAGATGGCAGATGGTGTTTGATTTTCGTATATAAACCTCTGACTTTGTGGAGATGGCTTCATCATGTTTAATGATTTAAAAGTTAAGTTGAACACTGGGAATACTCCGATGCTGGATCTCTCGTTTGAAAACGCCCTAACCTCCCTTCCAGATGGAGCGGCCGATCTCCTAACCGCTGATTCTGGTTAGCATTCAGCTGTAACTCACGCTGCCCTTCAGTGACAAATCATTACAAAAGACGGTCCTGCTTATGCCCTTTTCTGCTTTTGGTTTATTTTTCTAATTCAGTCTCAGCTACAACAGACATTGTCCCAGGCTCCTGAATCACAAACTCCTGACCTACTGTGAGTAAGTCAAAAATCCTTCTGAACAGATCTATTATCAAACTATTCCAAACCTGGCTGTTGTCTGCACATACTGGATACTGAGCCTCCAGAAGAGGCTGTAAATGGAAGAAAATTAAATGATAAGGCTTATTTGATAAATAAAAGCAGGTGCTGTAATGTATTATTTAGCTGTCCTAGTGGATCTGCCTCTTTAGAACTTCCTACATCAGCAGTTGAGGTGGCTCTAAGTTTATTTAATACCTTCTAACTCCAGAAATTCTAGGAAGTTTAAATTAGTTTAATTATGAGATGAAAACTTTCTAGATTTTTGCAATGAGTGATTAGCATGTTGTGAAAGTCAGCATCTTTGGCAGAGAAAGCAACAGAAATAGATGTTTTGGTCTCACTGGGATGTAAAACTGAAAAATTAATACACCCTCACTTCTGAAATATAAACGCATAATAAAATATTTTGCTTTACAAAACTTATTAAGATTCTCCCTCTCCCTCACGGCTTTCAGCATGCAAATTAAACACTGATCATTTGAATAACCATTTGCATTCCAGGTATCACAATTTCATGTTCAAACTTTAACAGCTCCCAGAGTTCTCGTTTCACCTGCAGCTGCGCAGGAAGCCCGCGTGGGTCCGGCCGTTTTAACATGACCGTTCCAACCTAACGAGCTTGGATTGGGAAAATTCCTGTCACGGGACACAGGCTGAAAACAGCGATTTGAGTTGGAATTGTTCAGCAGGCTTTCCTTTTAGGGACGCCGCTGATTGAATCTAGTGACATTTTAAAAAACAGCGTGTGAGGCGGCCGGTGAGTGCATCATCTGGAGGCAAGTCTGCAAGTTCACTGGGACTCGCTTCTGTTTTATGGAACTCTAGGATCTCCTTACAAATAGACTTCTGTAAAGTGCATATTATAAAACAAGAGTGGATAAACCATCAATAAGTGAAACTGCTTATGTTGACCAAAAGGCTCTTGTGTAAACTCTTCGTATCACTATCTATAATCCAGCGTGACCCCAAGGTAAACAAAGCAGTGTGGGGTCAAGTTGAGTAAAAAAAACAGATCCACTACGTCGATTCGGGGCATGAATGTGTTAGGAAGGAATGTAAGCATCATAAAGCATCTGTGTCTTTCAGAAACTGAACAAATGTCTTGTCGTGGGAAACTTGTTTAATCAACACAGTTGCAGTGGTCTCTGGTAGGAACAAATGCCTTGAAGGTCGTACTCAGGGGAAAACAATCTCAGATGCAACTCAATCAGGAAGTACAAGTCCGCCAGAGGAGGAGGCAGGTTTTGGACTCTGGGTGTTTCTCAATGCCAAGGAACCTCGCCTTGATGTCTTGGCCCCGCCCTGGTTGCCTAGGAGATACGTCATCGGGAGCCGCCAAGACGTGTTCCAATGTTCATGTTCTACCGAGGCATGTGTTCTCCGTTTGTTAGCCGTTTAGCTAGCTGAGCAAGGATACACGGGATGTTTCTTGTAGCCTAGCCTTGGTCAAAAATCACCCAGGATACACCACAGTATTTTCAAAAGGATGGTGGATCAGAAGCCGGCAGCTACTTCGGGGGCAATTTTCAAGTTTAAAAGTAAGACAACTAATTTAAAATGTTTTTTTTAGATCCAAAGAAGTTCTCTATGGTTGGTTAGTTGCTTAATAGTTACTGATTTGGTGACTAGCGGGTAGTAACTCACTTATATTTTTAATTTAACAAATATATACACAATTTAAAGGTAAAAGGCTCGTTATATATTTATATTGAAACTAATACGTATAAAATATAACGTCTCCCATGTCACGTGACGTTACGTGACCGCCGTGGTAACGTGACGCAAGTCTGTTCCATTTAACCGTTTTCTTTAACCAAGGAAGGAATGTGTCCTCATAAGCAAGGCGCCTGGCCTCGCAAGACATCACCTTGCGAGGCCAGGCGCCTTGACATTGAGAAACACCCTCTCATTTCCTCATACTTGGACATCTTGCCTTGGATTGGATAACAGCAACACGACTCTACCACTGACTCGCAACGAGGATTTCATCTTCACAAATAACACACCCTGAAGGAGTTCTGCCTTGTGGTGGAGATGCTAATGCTAACGGTTAGCTTCTACTAGCCAGACGTTCTATGCCGTTTCCTGGACGCTAAACCAAAAACGGCCTTCCCCGTCGAGAGACAAGATGGGTGAGTCCATGAACGTGACAGTGTGACGTAGATCTGTCAGGATTTTCAAATCCTACAGCAGGAGTCCCCAATCCTGGTCCTGGAGGGTCGGTATCCAGCAGGCTTTGTGGTTTTTCTGCTCCAACAGACTTGATTCACTGGTTGAAACACCTGTGCAGCGGCTCATCAGGCTCTGCAGAAGCCTGTTAATTAGCTGCTGATTGAAATCAGGTGTGTTGAAACAGAGTTCAAACTAAAACATGCAGGACACCGGCCCTCCAGGACCAGGACTGGGGACCCCTGTCCTACAGTTTCAACGTCCATTTTCTATCAGAAGCTAATGCAGGAGGTGTAGGAGACTATTTTCATGTTCAGTCTTCATGAAAAACTCGTCACTAAATATGTATTTTTTCAGTGAATAAAGTTGTCATTAAGTCTCTAAAACTGTCCGATTTGTGTTCTTCCATAAGTCCATTTTAAACAGAAGTGTATAAAGAACATCTGAGAATATTTATTGAATTTAAAAATAGACTTTGCTCTTTCATTGGGTCAGCTATACGATAGTTAGTCCTTTGTTTCCGCTACACACTCACTATAATTTCCATGTTGCTTCTATTCCAAACTACATGTTTTGTTTTCATCTTTCATTCCATCCATCTTTTTGGGTTCAAGAATAAAAGGCGTAATGAGAAAACAAGGTGCCGAGCAATCTTTTCCAGAGCTCCTCATAAAAACCGCATGACACCCTGGGCTGCACCGTTTAATTACAAAAGGATGAAATCTTTTCTTCTACATCTGGAGAAAACATTTTCTGCATTACACGGGGAGATTTACAGCTCCCAGTGCTGGACTCCAGCACACAGCAATTAGGCAAAAACATGGATGGACATCTAGAGCCATAAAATCCAGGAAGAGATGGCTATTCTCTCTCGACACTAAAGAAAATGTCCTCGGTCCAACAACTTCAAATAAAAATTCATAACTCAGGAAACTGGTGGATGGATATTTTTAAATCAGTCTTTGTGGTCACAAAAACAACCATCCATCCACTTTCGTCCGCTTATCCGGATTTGGGTCGCAGGGGCAGCAGCCCAAGTAAGGAGGGCCAGACTTCCCTCTCCCCAGCCACTTGGATCAGCTCCCCTGGGGGAATCCCAAGGCTGAGAAACATAGTCCTTCCAGCGTGTCCTGGGTCTTCCTTTGTGTCTCCTCCCGGTTGGGAATGCCCTGAAAACCTCACCAGAGAGGCATTCAGGAGGCTTCCTAATTAAATGCCCGAGCCACCTCAACTGGCTCCTCTCGATGTGGAAGAGTAGCAGATCTACTCCGAGCCCCTCCCGGATTACAGAGCTTCTCATCCTATCTCTGACTGTAACTAATCTCTAACTTCCTGGCATGGTCTCCATCTTATCGGACCAAAATGACCAACATTAGATAAACTGTGATTGTGCTGCTTTAAAATCGCCATTACTAAACTCCCAATGCCAAAACTCATGGCAGAATTCCCCAATGACAACGTCAATCACGGGGCTTTGTTGTCTCACACAGCATCGTAAACAACTGAGCTTCTCCCGGTCATTCACCGCAGCAGCTCTCGTCCTCCGATAGGATTAAATCATACTGTACTTCAACAGAATAAAACTATTAATGTTGTTAATGTCATTGTGGACACCTTTTGGCACTGATTAGTGTCTTCGCTCACTTCCGAATGCGTTGCAATATGCTGACGTCTGTGCAAAGTCCTGAATTTGAATGGAGACACAGCAGCTGAAAGGACCGGGACATCTTACTCCCGTCCCAGATTACCCTGAAGTTACGACAATGGAAACATGTCAGATATCTGTTTTTATTTCACTAAACTACTGAAGCGCACTTTTCTACTTGACAGTCAACCAGGAGACATGTCCATCTGTCCCAGTATGCCAAAGATGAAGAGATCAGGTCCCTGTGTGCTCATCCTCACGACTTCCTCCTTTCTCCTCATCAGTCTCTTTAACATATCGAATGCTCAAGTACAGCTCCACTGAAGCAAAAACTCTGAACGGAGTAGTTTTGTGGCCTTGACCACTCAGACACCATTAATCTGGTGGCTAAGCCACTGATGTATTGATGTTAGGGAGCCGGTAAGCTTGCCTGCCTTACTTTCTCCATCACTGCAGCTTAGGAGACATATATATCGAGAGAGCCTCCACCTAGCCTCATCAGGCCATTTACCTGCCAGTTGCCATACTCTCTCAGTAGCAGAGCACTTCACTTCCAAGGAGTAAACTTAAACGACAAAATCGAAGCAAACCAACAAAAATGTAACAACATTTGTATCTCTTCTCAAAATAAAGTATGTTGGGGGGGGGGGGGGGGGGGGGGGGGGAATAAACTACCAAACAAGCAGCTCTCAGGGAAACTGGTGAGTTTGCTGAGTCCAGCAGGTCCAACAGGGATTCTTTTTCTAAAGGACAAATTGGATATTGTCTTCATGAAATCTCTCCAGAAGGGGGTTTGTGGGGCTTTTAACAAGAACGGACCATGACTGATCCTGCATGTCTGTAATATCGTCTTTACACGATAGAAAGGTAAAGACAATGTACAGGATTAGATACAGACAGCCTCCAGTTGGTGCAGGAAGAAGGCTCTCCGAGACACAATTTTCCCCTCAATAACGTCCACGGCTCCAGAAGGGAGGAACTTCATTTTACAGGTTGTCACCGGAACAACCCTGAACCCTGGGCGGCACCAGACGTGTTTTTGTAGGAAGCAGATCTGCTGATTGGAAGAACGGGGTCACGGCATTGCTATTCAAGCAGGATCATCGTTTGACCAAATTTCTTTCATGCATAGCATTTCTTTTCTTCATTTTATTTTGTAGCGATAAGGAGGAAGGATGAAACAATAAAGAAGAATAACTGGGGGAATCATTACGCAGCGCTGGAGGAAAGATTTAGGAAATGATGTTTAAGAAACCCTAAAGGGGATGCTTGTGGGAGGTACAAACTGCATATCTGCACCGTACATCATTGCCTATGGTGATAAAACTACCCACACAAAATGGAGCTTATCTCTACCTTGAACTGTGATGAACCCAGTCACAAAAACGAATACAGCACCGTTTCCTACGCTTTTCCTTCCTCAAACACCAATCTCCCTTTGTCTGCTGATCCCGATAACAGGATCTCCAGCCTTTTTGCACCAAAGCACAAATCACCGTGCTCCAATGGTCTTGTCCACAACAAAGCAAAGTCTTCAGCATAAAAACAGAGAAAACATGTCAGTCTGAAAAACATCATTTCTGATCCCTTCACAAAACACTGAATGTAAGTAAGTAAAGTAAGTAAATTTTATTTATATAGCACTTACCACAGACATAGAATCACAAAGTGCTTCACATAGATCAAAACAAAATAAAACAAAGTCATAAAATCATAAACAAGTTAAGATCATAAAATCAAAATGCTCTTAAAACAGAATTAGATTAACATCAGAAAAAATTAAGTCTTAAAATTATAAATTTTCGTAAACAGATGAAAGATTTTAAATTTGAGGTAAAAATAAGAAAGTTTAGGGAAAAGCTGCTTTAAATAAAAGGGTCTTTAGCTGTTTTCTAAAAGTGTCCAGACTGTCAGTGCTGCATATGGATAAAGGAAGATCATTCCAAAGTCGGGGTGCAACAGTCTGGAAGGAGCGATCACCTCGACTTTTGTATCTGGAACTTCTAGAAGGTTCTAGACCTGAGGACCTGAGGGCTCGGGTTGGAACACAAGGCTTTAACAGTTCAGTAATATAGGGAAGAGATTGACCACGTAGAGCATTGAAAGTTATAATCAGGATTCTAAAATGAACTCTAAAGTTAACGGGTAACCAGTGCAGAGACATTAGAATAGGAGTGATGTGTGCTCATCTGTTTGTTCCAGTTAGAAGCCTCGCTGCAGAGTTTTGGACCAACTGAAGGCGGTCAAGGGCTTTTTTGTTATAACGTGTGAAAAGTGTGTTACAATAATTAGACGGGAGGAGATAAAGGCATGGATAACCATTTCAAGTTCATGTTTTGACGCCAACCGTCGCAGTTTAGAGGTATTTCTTAAGTGATAAAAACAGTTTCGGACCAATGTTTCTGAGTGACCTTCAAGAGACATTGAATGGTCAAAAAGAACACCCAAATTCCTTAAGTTTGTCTTGACGGCAGAGGATAAATGACCGAGTTTTAGACTAATCAGGGGAACCATGCTCTCAGGGGCAATGATCAGACATTCAGTCTTTTCAGAGTTTAACTGAAGGAAGTTATCTTCTAGCCAGCTGGTGATAGCTGATAGACACTCTAGTAATTCAGACAGTTTGTAGAACTCAGAAACCTTAAAGGAGCAGTACAGCTGAATATCATCATACAGGTGATAAATAGGTGATAAGAGACATTTTGAAAAGAATCAAGTATCTGTCCAAGAGGGTGTATGTACAGCAGAAACAACAGTGGACCCAAAACAGAGCCTTGAGGTGCCCCACAGAACAGATCAGCAGAATCTGACAGGGTTTGGTTTATACAGACACTGTAACTTCTGTTAGAAAGGTACGATCTAAACCAGTCTAGAACAGTTCCAGAGATCCCCACCGAGTCACCAAGTCTGTTAATTAAGGTGCTGTGATCAACAGTGTCAAAAGCTGCAGAAAGACCTAACAATACTAACACTGTGAACACCCCGTTGTCTGCAGCCATCATGATGTCACTGGAAACTTTAAGCAAAGCTGTTTCTGTTGAACGATTTTTACGAAAACCAGACTGGAATTTATCAAAACAGTTGTGTAGGTCCAGAAAAGTAATCAGTTGATCTGCCACAACCTTTTCCAATATTTTAGAGATAAAGGGTCATTTAGAAATGGGTCTGTAATTTGTAGGCTGAGATGAGTCCAAACTTGTTTTTTTAAGGACAGGTTCAATAACTGCATGTTTGAAAACAGATGGTACAGAGCCAGATTTTAGGGATAAATTAATAAAATCTACAGTGCATGGGCCAATTTGGTCAAACATCCTGATTAACAAGGCAGTAGGAATGAAATTGGGTGGGGGGGTGGGGGGTGATTTTATTAGTCTCAAAGAATGCTAGAAAGTTGTTACAGTCAGACTTTGAGTAAACTGGCATAAAACGGGCGTGAGGAGAAACAATCTGGTTTATGGTGTCACACAGGACATCAGCACTGAGACCCTGATTTATAATTCCAATCTTCTTTTTGAGACTTTTTTTTAAAACAGCTTTAAAAATATAAAAGACAGGGGGATTAGGCGCTCCTTCAAACAAGACCCTTGCTTTTCTCTTCTGCTTTCAGTCAGTGTGACTCTGTTACACCCAGTAACACACAGTAGGGTCTTTGCACAAAATAACACCAACAGCAGCAACAGCTGTGCCGCGGGTCAAAGCCTGACCTTTGCAGAGGAGCGGGAGCAGTTGTGAAATCCTTGCAGTGCAAAGCCCTTCCAGCCCTTCTAAGAGCACAATCCTCACTCTTCCTCAGTTTAAGATGTATGCCAAGTCTTTCTAGTTTTGTCCAGTGCTAAGTAAATGGGACTAGGAGGCAAGAGTTCAAAACCCAACTGGTAACCACTAACAACCACAAGACGGCAACTGGGGCTGTGAATAGTTATGACGAAGGTGGTGTTACAGGTATACATGAGCCGATAAAACAATACACTTTACAAGCCCTGTTGTATTTAACATTACACAATTGGTGTGAGCATCTGCTCGTCCATCTTTGTCTGCATTCTTACATTTGTGTACGTGAAAGGAGAGAACGGGCTGGCTCCAAGGATGTGCAGCTCACGCTTTATTAGAGCAGTGGTACCAGTAAATCAGAGCTCAGCTCTTCCTGGAACCGCTACAACCTTTCCCACTGAGCACTATTACTGAACAATCATAGGCTGGCCATGATAATTAGCAGAGTATCTTATCCATTCAACCCTCCTGCACCCTCCAACCCCTTTTCCTGTCTGTCTCTCCTTCCTCTGTCTACCCCTCCTCTTCTTAGAAATGTTTGTTGGGTTAGAGGGGAAGAAAAGGTCCCCGCTACACTTAAGGACACGTCACGTCACCTTTTCCTTTTGCTGTTGGGCAGCTTGTTAATGTTTATACAAAAAAATAAAGAATAAATAAAGCTGAAATTTGGCCAAACAGCCAAACAAGTCAAACTAGCAAATAAAAATGCTTAAATCATAATAATGCTTCAAATCTAACAAAATAAAGACTAAA